GTTATCTCCTAGACGCCTAATTGTCCGAGTTTCAACCCTTGCTTTTGTTTACGTTTGGTACTAGATCTGTTAGAATCATGATTTAATCATCTTTTTATTCTCTGCATCTTTTGGATTTTCCAATCGATTTTTAAACCGCTAAGTTTTTTTGTATTTTTAGACAAACCGTTTGTTTGCACAGATTTACGGTTTCATTTACTATGTTATCTGAATTATATGGTTGTTATTTGTAGTTTTAAATGGACTCGTTATTGGTGACAGACTGATCCAACATCTGGAGATGAAGAAATCCGTCCGATAAACTGCGGGAACTTGATGAGGATGACTCGGTATTTGATATTTTTTTGTACCACTTATACATGTATATAATTATAGATGCATAGCTGTTTTTATATGTGAATATCTAAATATTAGTGTTGACATATATATACCAAAATAGTCATCTAAAAGTAAACTTAGGGGTCTACTTTATAACATGTACATATAAGTGTTTTCGTGTCTGTCAATGATATTTTATTTTTATGGTCCAAATGGTTCAAATCCATGGTTATTTTTGGTTCTGTTTTATTATTTATTTATTTCATATTTAGGTAGATGTTATCTTAATAATTCCAACCACTAGTAAAAAAGATCTTGAGAAGGGTTATAGTTTGGCTAATGAATGTAATGATGCTAGTGTTGCACACATGGAGAAATATTTGATTGATATTTAAGGTTTTACTTCGCTAATTAATATGTTACGGATCTATGTGTTATCTTAATGTTTTTTTCAATAGGTTTTCGTACATATTTGTTCATCTTTATGTTCGATTATGGATAAAGTTTTATTTTGTTTGTGTATTGAGATATGGATATGTCCATCCTCTCTACACGTATTTTTGCAGATCATAGAAGAAGCGGTTGGCAATTGTGTTAAGATCGTCGTTCCTATCTCTCATATGCGGTTATCATTGATTGTTTAAATCATCGTTTTAGATTGTTTAAATCATCGTTTTCTTTCCCAAGCCACTGTTATTGTCCAAGGATTTTGCAACTTATAGTTCTCGAAGTTGTCCGTGTTTCATCCCTCATCAGAGTCAGAAGATGAAAAAGTTGACATGTTATTGCATTAAAAGTTTGGTAACTCGATAATCAGGAGACGGCAAATTTTCTGTTGGTATTCTTTAGATTTTGAGTTTTACGTAATTTATGTTACGTGTCTATGGAGGAACTTACATAACCATTATTTTATGTGCATCTCCACATGTTACTATTTTAATACCTTTTTTTACGTTTGCCATCTACAATTTTGCGTGGGGGTTTATGTTTGAGGATGCCTATATACTTTTATACTTGGTTGTCCATTTTATTTTATTTCTATGTTGTATAATGTTTTGTCAAANNAATGTTTAAAATTTAATTTAGTTTTATTGAATTTAACGTTTCAAATACTCACTACNTGTGTGATATAAAGAGTAATCTAAAATTGGAGTCGCATCCCAAGCAAATATGAAGTACCATTTGGCTTGACATTGTCCTCCACCTCTTGCTCGTGGGTTGCTAGTTCTGCACAAAAAATTATATAGTTAATGAGATATTAACAAAAACACACACCTATCTACCTACACAAAGCAATACATGAAACTATTGATTAGTATATTACCGGTATCTGCAAAGCTCCCCACTAGGATCCGTATCACAGTCTTACTATTTTTTTTCTGTCTCTAAACCGTTTTCATAACCCACCAATATGTGTAGAGATCTACTTTTTTATGTTGCACTCCACATATTTTTGTAGCGCTTTAACCTAGTAGATTACACTCCAATGTCTCCAGCGTGGTGAGCATCCCGTAGCCATGTAAACGACGTTTTTTTGCTTGAGTTCTCCCTTCTCTTTGGGTTGTTGGGTCTGGATCATGTTTCTAGAAGTTGAGTGTGTCTTCTCAACATTTCCGGTAGTATCTTTCCTAATTTATTTCACCATCTCTGCATATAGAAACTCATGCCTGACTGGTACAACAACAATAGTAAAGTACAAACTTCCACACACATCACCATTTTTGTTCCACATAAATAAGGTCGCTATGTATGGCGATAAGTGTCACCATTGAAATCAACTATGTTTCAAAGACATCTAAGTAAACATGTAACTGCATATATAATAAAATTTCACGCTATATTTAAACATGGACTACACTGTAACTTAGACATGTTATTAAATGCTAATTAACTTCCCAACCACTTGCTTACGTCACACTATCATCTCATCACAATATTCTGTGCTTTAACCACGCGCAGTCAGAGAAAAACGCGTTTTTTTCATTGTTATACCCCAAATTTTTTGGTACCCTTTTGCTATTTACCTAACGTAAAAATTCTTTTTGTTGATTTCCTAATTTGATCAGTCCGTCTTGCTAGTTACCAAATTCACTCTAAAATTATGGATTGTAATTAAATTTTGGAAATAAATAATGGTACGGGTCGGTTCAATTCTTTGGAGACTGAGCTGGCTTGTGGGCATATACTAATAATTTATTGAACCTAACTATATTAATCGTTTAACTAAAAATAATTCGCAACATTTTAAGTATTTTTAGAATGTCAAGCTCATAATGTGTGGGTTACGATTAAATAATTACGATCTGATTTATTTATTTTTTCAATTGTTCCGGCGGTTTAAAATAATATTACGCACTTTACGCATAAGATATCCATCTTCACCAGATTTTCTATTTTTAAAATATAGTAATTAATACGTGTAGATGAACAATATAAATCTCGTATGAGTATGATGAGTATGAGACTATGGCTCCGAATG